GAACAACTAAAACATTAATGCTGTTAACCAGGTTACGGGGCTGCCCTCCTAGAGGAGGAACTGGCAGAAGGCAGCAGAAACTCTCAGCAGTTGCTACTTCCCAATCCCTGCCTGCTCCATTCAGACAAACAACTGGGCAGCAGCAGCGACAAACAGACCGCTCAGGGTGAGATACTTGAATCAGATCCAGGTTTGCTCTTACTCTGCCTCCAGAAATCTCTCACAAGCTTGAACTCCACCAATTTTAATGCAAATCTTCCAGAATGTTACAGAATATTCCTTACAGAAGTTTTGTTCTCTTATCACCCACCTTGCCTGTGAAAAAAATTGCTACCCCAGCTCAAGAAAGAGTACTTTAAACTGTTTGTAATGAAGTCCAAATGGTCATATAATACATATTTGAAATAGACGTAGCTGAGTACATACAAGCAAGTAAATCAAGAGGCAGCAGACGCAATAATCCATTGATAGCAGTCTACTTAAAAACAGCTTTGGCTAGGCAGTTTTTCCTTTTTTCCTCCTGGAGTCCTACCCCTGCATCACCCAGCAAATCTTACTCAACAAACTTGCACCAATTCCATACCTTGCAAACACCTACAAAACATTTTTGATGTATCCAATTTACTTGCAACCTCAACACACAAGAAGGCATTCTCTAGTAGCTACTCCAATTATCCTGCTTAAGAAAAATAATCCACAGATCTCTTCTGGTCCGAGTCTAACTTCATCTTTTTATTACCGTGCTTGCTTTTCATTTCTGTACTACTCTATAGATTAGCCCACAACAGAGCCTCAGCCGCTATAGCAAACGCTAAAGAAACAAACACAGAAACACAGCATTTAGCAACAAAAGCTTTTCTGCCAAAACAGTCATGATTATCTGCCCAAGTATTTTACTTGCAAGCAAGCTTTTGTCAGCCTGTTAGCTTACAGACTTTGATTAACTTTTGTCAATTAGAAGGCACATTTTCCCCCACTGACACATACCCAAGCCCACTGTTATCTAATACAGCCAGATCAGCACCTCTCAGCCCCAAATCTCTCTACTACTAAAAGCCTCCCCAAAAGAATGCTTTTGGCCCTTCTGAAAACACATTTATGCAATTAAACTGCTGCAAACAGTGTTGGCATAGGAAAACATCTGGCTGACATCGCCATATAGCTGATATCAAGGAAGATCAAGAACACTTTGAGCTGCATGACAAAGTCTTCTGCAACATATTCTGCTGGCGAGGAAGGAAAAGTACTGCAATCTGAGCATGAATTGAGTAAATCCTTTCTCCAACGGGAATGCAGCAATGGGGCCAGGGGCTTCTCCTCTGCCAAGTGCCATACACCTCAGAACAGTAACAGAGAATACTCCCAAAATGGCAGCCTGAAATGCACTGCAGGGGTTGATCCACTCTGCTCTTGAGTACAAGAGCTTTGAGCCTAAAATTTAGGCATTTATGTAAGTACATACCATCCATGGCAGGCAAGTAACTACGACTGACTGCAGCACCATGGATTAAGAAACAAGGTCAACAGATTAACTTTTATTACCTATTCATGAACCAAACCACGTTCCTACATAGCGAGGACCTGAGGATACCATTAATCTTTAACCAAATGCTTCCAACCAGTCCAAATCAAACAAATCTGCTGACTAGCTCACACTTGAGCTCACATCTTTTAGAAGCACCTCACAGCTTTTACTGAAATTAGATGACCACCTACCTTCAGCATGGTGAAGGGAGGCCAACAAAATCAACAGAATCATCCTGCAGAGACATTCTGAAGGTGGCTTCAACAGCTTTCCAGGGCACACACTGCTCAACTTTTTGTATTCCCTCATGACTACCAGGTTACTGCAGAAAGGTCATTTCAATATCTAAGTGCATTTGCCGCTCCAAGTAGTGTGACAAGGGTCAGCAGAAGAAGGCCATGACAGAAGGCTGACACAGGCAGCCATTAAGCCATGCACTTACCTGGGCCAAGCACTGAAGCACCACCTCGACATACGAGTAATACCTGCCTTCAAAACAGTGTAAATACAGGACACTTGGATCAGAACACTTTCATAGTGCAGGATGGTAATTTTCCTGCAGATCACGTTGTCGGCAGCCACGAGGCAGCTTGCTTTTTTGTAACTTAAGGGTAACTTGCAGCATGCCAAAGATTTTGATTTTTTTCTTAAACTCACAGGTTTTTGAGTACTTGTTATATTCAAACAACATCCCAAACAAGAAATATTACAGATACTTGCAACAATTTTAACTTCCACTGGCAAACAGCATGGCCACAAAGAACACTCCACAACACTACCATATTGCTCCAGACTGCCCCCAGCAGAACCTCAGCAGCACAGTGAAGGAGCCGGAATGGAAATCCACCCACCAAACTGCCTCAGGCCTCCAGGAAAACAAAGGACCACTACAGCTTTGCTCAGCTGGCAATTTGTGGGCACCCAGCACTGCACAGAACCAGATCGAAACTGCTGTTTTGTCTTCCTCACCACCAGGCCTTCCATCCAGGCAGCCTAAATGCACCTGATTAGGGACACAATGTTCATTTCAGTAGGACCTGGAGACCGCTGTAGGAGGGTAAGGTTCACTGGCAACTCCTGTAACCAGTAGATAGAAAGGAAACAGAAACTAGATCAGATGGAGACATGCTTGTTTTTTTTCCACTGAAACTATCTCAGCAGTATTCAGCAGAGCTTGACCTACTTCCTACACCATCTCTTTGCTGTCACTTCCTTTGACAGTCTGTCAGCACACTTGTGAATCTGAAGATTAAGGAACGAATGTCTGGAAGGAAAAGAGCTGAGGACTTCTTCCTTTTAATGCCACCTACAGTCAAAACTTCTATGGCCTAATCAGCAAGACATGCAGTGACCAGCCTAGCAACAAGTACTTTCAATTATTAGCATCCTTCAAGAGCTCCAAACCAACTGCCCAACTTAGCTTACAAGCATGCCCTTAAAGACGACTTCGTTTTTCATGAAATACCCTTTTTCTTCTTCCTTTAGCTCACAGCACAGATCAGGATCTATAAACATTTCAGGTTCTCAGTTCTCCTGTGTTCCATAGATCCTGTCTAAGAAGACATTATATACAAAAATACACTTCTAATTCGTTCCTTACAAATTAATAACAATTTAATAATCACCAGCTACAAGCAGATGATGTTCTACTTGGCACCTACAACCACGCAGTCACTAGCCATAAATCCCAAAGTGAAATAATGCTGTTTTCTCTACTTGGTTTATTAATATAAACCAATACCAAAACACAAAATGGTTATAACACAAATTTTACACTAACACAAATATTTATACTTATATATATTATTTTATATACATATATTTATATATAAATATATTTTTAATTGAAATACTAGCAGTTGAAATTTCAATTTCAGACAAAAACAACAGTATGACGGCTTGCCACACCAAGAAACACATTTCATTGTTTAGTAAGAACAGAAACATTAAGTACAAGACTGCACTCAGCATAACAGAGGTGCTCCTACAAGTCCAGTTCATTAGAAACAGAAGATACTTAAGCTTAAGGCAAGCTGCATGTGCCTAAACATAACAAAGATGTGCTCGGAAAGCTTCCTGCCCGGCCATCCACAACAAATAGAGCTTAAGAAGCAGTTAGGATACTTCGTGCCTCCTAAGGGAAAAGGGCACAAAAAGGGCCTAACTTTTCCAGCTAGCTGGCTCAGTTTCCTACCACCCAGGCTTTTCCTGCAGGCGGGAGGTTGGGGAGAGCAGGAGGGGATGTCCGGTGCAGACTTGTGAACTTTGCCACCATACCACTCGCTTTGAAAGCGCTGGCCTAAGACACAAAGCCGCACAGACCGCACCGCCCATGCAAATGGAAACCCAGCCGGGAAAGCCCTTGTCTCCACTAACCCAGCTTCGCTTCTCAGCACAAAAAGCAACGAAAGATGCATCATCAACAGGTCACCCGGCTTCTCCTTTGTGCAATATGAAATGCTGCCCAACAGAAACCGGAAACAGCCCTCTGCCCCCAGCAGATTCCAAATGGAACAAATAAAGCCATTCCTGCCTGGATGTGGAACCGAGGCTGTCCGATGCCTCCACTCACCGAGAAGCACGTTCTGAAGGCTTGGCAGTCCCGACGAAAACAAACGAGCGGCCTTTAAAAGGCACGGCTCAACTACGAAGCAGCGTTTCGCAGAGCTCAGACAACAGCAGCTTTTGAGGAGAGGGAACGAAAACGCAACGAACAAGCAAGCCACGGGTACAAAACACAACAGCCGCCTTTCCAACGCCCTCCGCTGCTCCCGGAGGCGGCACGCGAGCTCTTAGCTCCGTCCGAAACCGCATTCGGTGAAAGTTGCGCCGCTCACAAAGAGCCGACGGGGGAGGAGGGCAGGAGCCAGGGCTCTCAGAGCGAGCTTTCAGCCCGGCAGCTCAACGAGAGCCCGCAGCGGGGTGGGTGCAGCGCCGGGCCGGGGGGCAGCCCGCACAGCTCCTTTGTGCCGCGCGCCTCGCCGCCAACTCCCTTTGCTCCCCTCGGGGAAAAGGGGATTACCCCAAACCCCCGAGTCCATAAAGCATCCGGAGTCTAAAGATAGCGTGATGTCGTAAAATTATTTTTAATATCTCCCCCTCCATTCCCTACCACCCCTCCCACTCTCCACCCCACATCGAGGATGGCTGGCTGCCGCTCCGTCACAAAGACAAGGCGATCCGTTCGGAGACGGCGAGCGGGGAGGAAACAAAACCGCACGGGAAGCCAAGCGACCGGCACAAAGGCACGAGGGGGGGGGGGGGAAGAGGGGAAGGGGGGGAGGGGGGAAGGGAAAAAAAAAAAAGAATTGAAGAGGGAAAGAAAAAACAACAACACAAACAAAACAAAAAGGCCAAGGAGGTTGCAGCCGGCCGCCCGGAGCACAAAGCGGGGCTGGGGGCAGGCCCCGAGCGGCTCCCTACGGCCGTACGGCCGCGCGGAGGCGGGCTGCGTCGCAGCGGGCGCGGGACTTACCGCAGGAAGGCGGCAGCAGGCGGGAGAGGAGCCCGCGGCTCCCTGAGGCGGCGGGGGGGACCGCAGCGACGCGCCGAGCAGCGACGGACGGACGGACGGACGGACTGACGAACGGACTGCCTTCTGCAGGCGGAGAGCAACGAACAGCCGAGCGACACCGCCTTCACCACGCACCTCCCAGCCGCCGCTCCGCTCACCCAGACCTCTGGGTCGGCTGCCGCCGCGCGCCCGCGCACCCAACCGTCTGTGGGCGGAGCTAAAGGGGGGCGGGGTCAGGGGGCGGGGTGACGGCCCTGGAGCCCGGGGCATGCTGGGAGTTGTAGTGCCATCGTCTGGCGGTGTAAAGGGGGGTTGTGTGTAGGTGTAACATACGAATATATATAACCTTAGGTTTACAGAATCATCAAGGTTGGAAAAGGCCTCTGAGATCATCCCATCAACCCATCACCACGTCCCCCAGTTCCACATCTCCACTGTTCTTGAACACCTCCAGCAATGGTGACTCCACCACCTCCCTGGGCAGCTGTGCCACTGCATCACTCACTGCTCCTTTGGAGAAGAATTGTTTCCAAATACCGAACCTGAACCTCCCCTGGTGCAGATTGAGGCCACTACATTGCTGTTACACGGGAGAAAAGGCCAACACCTATCTCCCTACACCCTCTTCTCAGGGATTTAGAGAGAGCCATAAGGTCTCCCCTGAGCCTCCCCTTCTCCAAACTGAACAATCACAGTTCCCTCAGCCACTTCCCACAACACTTGTGCTCCAAATCCTAAACACAAACCCTGTGTCTGAGAGTGCTGCCCCAATGCTCCCTGAGCTCTAGCACTGGGGCTGTGCCCAATGGAGGCAGCCCATCACCCTCTGCAGCAAAGCCTTTCCCCAACCCCCAAACCTTCCCCTGACCCAGCCCCACACCATCACCTCAAGCCCTGTCACCGTCCCCAGAGTGCAGAGCTCAGCGCTGCCCCTCCACTCCCTGTGAGGAGCTCTAGGCTTCCATTAGACCCACAGCAGTGTCAGCTCATCTACAACACACCAGCAAAGGAGGAGGTCCTGGATGCCCTCTGTGTGCTTTGCAGCCCCTTGTCCTCCTGTGAGAGAAACTGGAGGGGCGGTGATGAGAACAGGATGAAAGAGAACCCCGTGGAGAAGGCCAGCTGACAGCTCTGAGGGCTGCTTGGCTGATCCTGAGCGGAGGTGCAAGGTGACTCAGGCCTGAATGACAGTCACTGGGCACCGTGAGCACAACACACGGTGAGCACCGTGCTGCCATGATCTGTCCTCCACTAGTGAGTCAGCCCACAGGCGGGTGGAAATGCTTTCAACCGTGAGTCAAAGCTGAGCTCTTCGCTGGAAGGATTGAGCAAATCAATACACTGATGGGTCAGGTGTGTGGGCTGTGAGGTGCCCAGTGATGAGCAGCATGGGACCGCTTCAGAGGGAACCTTCACAGCCCCTTTGATGCACACGGAAACCAAGGCAGGCTAAAACTAAGCCTCTGTGCCACAAAGCCCATCTGCAAGCAGCAGACCACGGCACTACAAAGACTAGTCCCCACTTACTGCTGTTGGACCTCAGATGCATCAGTTTGTGCCATGTGCAACCACAGGTTAGCTGAAGAAACAAAGCAGCTTTTGAGATCTGTGATCCCATGAAAACACACAAAACCACAGATGTCTGTATGTTTTTGTTTACATTCAGTTTAAGCAGCCAGAGCACTTTTTTTCCCCTGCCTTTCCCCCTGCCCCCCCCTCCCCGCCCCTCCTGCCGTATGTTATAGAAAACAACGTCATGCTTTCTGCTTGGGAGCTCTGTGCCAGAAGACCCATGGCAGCTTTCATTTAAGACACATGAACTGTGTGGTAACATGGTAATACTCCTTTCTTGGCTCTCCCTCAACATAGTGTCTCAGGCTGACATCCACAGTAAGAAGATAAATGGAAGGAGGCCACCATGGGCTCTGTCTAAATGTTTGTTTAGTGGTTGCTGCAGGGGGATTTTCACCTGGGCCCTCCCCAGCCACTTGTGTTGACCTCTTCCCTGAGGTCTGTTTCTGGATGCTACCAATGGTTTTTGTTTTGCTTTTGCTTTTTGGAATCCAGTTCATGGCCGTGTCTTGTTCCCAAATAATTGCAGCCAACATCAAATCCTGCTGCTTCCACCTGAAAGATGAAAGCACCTCCTACTGTTGCATGTTATTGTGTGTTTTTCATCCCTGAATTTGATTTATTGCATTCTTGTGCTCCCAACCTGCAAAACTCCTCCTGCAGCCCCTTGGTTTTTGCACCTTCCTCTGAAGTAAGTACCCATGACACTGGCGAGGAGAAGAAAAAGCCTTTCTTTGAATATTACCCAATGGAGAACATTCTGTCCTAGGCTGATGCCTGCAGACTTGAGTTACAGCAGCTTATTGCAGCGTATAATGAATCAGAGAGCTGTGAAAGCACAGACTTGCTACCAGGAGCCAGCAACCCACCTTCCTAGCAAATGCTTTGCCCTGACCGTGCACCATCTGGGGATCTGGTGGTTCCGTTGATTCCTGCATGGCCCCAAGGGAGACGCAGTGTTCCTCCATGGAAGGACAAATGTCTAATGGCCTGGTGATAGATGGTCATAGGGCATGTTGGCTGCTTCCATGACAATAAAATGACAGCTGCTAGGAACTCAGCATCATTTTGTTCCAGGCCAGTTATTGCCTGGGAATGGTTAGGAGAATGTCTGAGCTGGGGACCTCTTGAAGGAAGCAGCTTTGATAGGTCACAGAAAACTTTGACAGCACTGGTACATCACCAGCTGGCCTCAGGACCAGAAAACCACTCAGGACATGCTTAATTAGTCCACGTCTCCATTGTCTTTGAGGCTTGATGATGGACCACAAAGTCCACTGATGGAACCCAATTCATCTCTCTTCCTCTGTGCAATGACCAAATTGACGCACACTACAGCAGTGCTCTCAGCCATGGAAAATGAGACATTCCCAGCAGGGAAACTAGGAGAAAACACGTTGTTTTTTTTTTTAAAAAAGCTTGTTGCCTAGTTGCAAGAAAAGAGGAGGAGAATTTAAACTGCCTCTTGGTTGAGCGCCCTGTGAGTCACTCGGATGCTGAGGTGTGGTATCCAGGCCTGCCAAGCGTGGCAGACCCACCCTTGCTCCCTACTTCTGCCGTAGGAGACAAACAGCTCTGCATGGCAGGCTGTTGGCCCTGCTTTGGGTACTGCTGGTTGCCCAGGGAAGATGAGCTGCCCACCAAAAACGCCACCTGGGATGCTTTGGAATGGGGCACACGGATACATCCGATGGGGCACTTCAAAAAGCTGCAGAAATGGCACAAGTGAAGTGTTGAGGAAGCCAAAACGGGGATTTTTCTGGCTCTGTGCTCATAGCAAAGCCAGGCTGTGACCTCGGCAAGGGCAGGAAACATAGGTGCGGTGTCCACGCCTGGATCTGGCTGCAGGAATTTTCCCTGCGTAGCAACAGTTGTTATGTAGCAATAACACTCAGCAATTTTTGAGGCACTTCAGAAATATTAATTAATCTGCATATCAGCCTCCTCAGGTAGGCAGCTAGATATTTTCACCCGTGCTTTATGGCTTGGGAAGGGGAGACGATGAACTGAAGTGATGTCATGGCAGGAGGCTTGAATGAGGAGAAGAGGTGCAATAGAGAGGCAGTAAGGACAAATCAACAGAAGCTCCACTGGAACTTCTGCTGGGGAACTCTTTTGCCCTCTAGAAAATACATGGGCCTGGTAGGCTTTTCTTTGCAGGGACAGAATTTGGAGGTGCAAGCTCCAGGGCTTATGATCCAGCAAGGAAAATACTCACTGTTTGCCTCATCATAAGGAAAACACAAAGAAATATAGCAAGCACGGCAGGAGAGCTTCAAAGGGCAACCAGGAGTAAGCCAGCAGCAGTGCACCCAGATGTGTAGGATGTGCCTGGATTTCCGCCCAGTGAGGCAAACTTCCTATCAGAGGGACTTGCTGCTGCTCCTGCTGGCATTTTGCAGCTCAGCTTAATTACACTAATCACTGTGATGATGACTTCTGACATTCACCTTCATTAGCCATCGATGGCTGCGCTCAGCTGCCTCGGAGCAGAGCTATCGATGCCTGCTTTAAATAACCCATGAGTAAAATCAGCAGGGAGACAGAATGTCTGGGCTCTCCCCTGGCACAGCCTGCATGGGACTGGCTGGGAATGCACGGCCAAAGCCAAAAGTGCCATTTAGCCCTGACAGGAGGTGGGCATGACTTTTTGTGGGCATCTCAGAGATGAGAAGGCTTTTCTATTGGGTGGGCATCCTCAAATGCAACGTTTCTTTTTGATGGCATCGGTTTGCAAATTAATGCCTGTGATAAATCCCCTCGTGCAGAATGAATTAGCAGAGACCTGTCATTCATTAACATTATGGCATGTGATACTTGTTTAAAATGAAAGAGAACACCTGCTTATAGCAAGGAATAAGTAAAAATCATCAGGCTTTTATGTTGTGAAAGTGGAATAACCTTAGGATGAGAAAAGCTGGCCAAGATCTCCTGCTTTGGTGCTATGACCGGGCAGGCACCGATGCTGGCTGTGTTTGGGTAACTCTCACTGCATCTTTTGGATGCTGCGAGCTGATGGCTGCTGCTGTAAATGAAGTAGCAACTTAAGGAAGAAGTAAAATGCTTCCTTTACGAATGATATGATTTATGTATTCCTGCATTTTATTTGACTTTGTATTTAGGGTTTTCCTAAATACTGAGCTGTTCTGTGAGAGTGCACGGAAATAGCCTAGCGTAACCGTGCTCTGCGTGCAAGTTATAGCCAACAGCAGGTTCTGAGTGCTTATCTCTGCATTGAAACCCATTGCTTTGCATCAAGTTAAATTTCTTGGTGTTGGTTTTGACATGCTGTACCTACTGCATGCATTGGCCAGCTTCTCTGCTGTGCATCTTTGTGCTGGATGTGCAGTATACTCTCAGCGATGCAATGCATTTTTGCACTCCTGCCGAGGAGAATGCTGTCACTTCAAAGCCACTGTGTGTGGTCAAGAGGTGGGAAGATTCTGAAGGATGCTTCTTCCCAGGAAAGGCA